CGAAACGCCAATCCCAACTGAATCTCGGAGACGGCCCGCGTGCCACCGCGGAGCCGGGCCGAGGGCCCGCGTGCACCCCAGGGAGGGCCTTAAAAACCAGGCCGCTGCCTCTGCGGTAAGCTCGAGCCACGACGAACAGCAGGCGCGGGACAAAGTTGGAAAGCAAGCTGCTCCTCAACCTCCTCCTCCGCCACTTCGTCAGGTAACGAGTGGGCAAGCCTCGGCGCGGAAGAACGTCTCAGGCGAGGGGTCCCAACACGGACTCAAGAGCTCTTTTGCCCACGGGGTCAGAGACCCCGATGGGGCTTGCGGTGCTGTGGCAGGTCCCCCGTCGAGCACGGGGAGGAGGCTGTCCTTCACCTCTGTGCGACCCCCATGGATTCTGGCCCCTGCACTTCGAGAAACAAGCAAAAACGACGATGAGGAACCACCGCCAACAGCCGGCGGAACATTCGTTGTGGTCGCCGCGATGAGGACAAGGAGGGGAAAGAGAAATCAGCCGACTCTATCGGCATGTGTGCGAGGCGTTTCAAATTGAGTCGTCGTCGTCGTCGTCGCTCCCCCCCTTTTGACGTTGCTCCCCCCCCCCTTTTTCTGTTTGCGTCGTCGTCGCCGTGGCTTCCGGCCCAAATGCGCCCGTCGCGGTGAACCAGCACCCGCTCAGGGGCCCAAGGCGTCCCACGGACGCACCGTGGCTGTTCGTGTCCCCGAAAGTCCTGGGGCTGATCTTTCACGTCCTGGGCCAGCTGTACGCCACTTCTTGCTGCTCGAAAGTTCTGGATTCCACTCATCTGGCTTCTGCTGTGCGTCTGGAACCAACTGTGAGCAACCTCGGGCTGCTGGTGCCCCAGAGTTCCCTTCCTGGGGCTGCCCTCCAGCGCCAGGGCGCTCCTGGGCGCCCCAGTTAAACCCTTTGCGAGTCGAAATCCAGGAAAGGTTTTCAAACCAACGTCACAGCGAATAGCCTCAGCGCTCGTGGGCGCGCCACGAACGTGCGTGATCCTTCTAGCGATGACAAAAGCGATGCGACAGCAGGCTCGCCACTACTCTTGCCACGATAAATCCACCCCATACCACCCCCTGATCCCCTCGACGCAGAAGCTACCTCCCAGGAGCTTGTCAAGCCTGTCAAGCCCCACAGGAGCTCCATTAAAAGGCCAAAACGAAAAAGTCTCCATGTGTTCATGTCGCTCGCCCCTGCCATGACTGTCAGGCCTCATAGGAGCTCCGCAAAGGCCGAAATGAACACATCCGTATTCAGTCGTGGGCTGAGTTCATCATTTCGCTCGCTCTGACCACGCTCATTTCGCTGGCCTCTGACTCGTTCTTCAGGCCCCACATGACAAAGTTCGTATGCCTGACCACGCCCATTTCGATCGCCCCTGCCACGTTTTTCATGTCCTGCTATGTGTCCAATTCAGCACACCCCTCCCACGAGTTGTGCCCCCACCCCCCCCCAAAAAAACTCCCTCTCCTTCAGCACACCTGCATTGCGGTATTCACAACCGCGTATGGTTGGGTCTTTCGCTTGGCATCTTCAATGTTCTGTCATGCCGCCCCCCACTGGGAATGGAGGGCAACTTGGGGTCTTCGGATTGGGTTCGGGTTTTTTGGTGGGTAGCGGTTTATGTGTATATATATATATATATATGTGTGTGTGTGTGCATCTATACATTTTGCACATACAAGGTGTGTATGATCGTCCTTATGTCCGCACGCTTGCTTTTGCTGGCCTCTTTCTGGACGCCGCAGGGCCGCATCCTGGCGGGGGCGACGGCAGCCCCGGGCCCCGGCGTGGCGAAAACAGGCGCGGCAGCCTCGCCGCACGGCGCGCGGCGCGCGAGAATCGCGAGGCTCCTGCGCGGGGCCGCCCAGAATCGGCGGTGGACACACCTCCCTTCAGTAAACCTCCCCTTAGTGAAAAGCGCCTGGGACCGCGCTCTGCGCGTGCGTCGAAACTCACACGCGTATGTATACCTCAGACGGCTCTTCCACATGCTCGTCATGTTGCAAGCCATTCCCTCCTCTCCGGCAGCCTACACCTCGAATCCCACAAGCGCCCCTCCTGATACGACTTGAGTGAAGGGGGAAAAGCGGAGGTAGTGAAGGAAAGCGAATCAATGGTAAAGATGAGGGGGCGACTGAGTGCGTGAGTGAAGAAATGGTGCGAGGAGAAGACATGTTCTGCGGATGGCCGACAAAGCCGCAGGACATGCATCCTCACATCAGCTGGTGGAAACAGGTGTCGATGCACTGCATCGCCATGCAAGGACACGATCTGCACGCCCGAAGCGCGGCCTCTGGAACGGAACGCAAGAACATGCACACAAAAGCCAGCACCACAATGTTTTGAGAACGGCGCGCACACACACACACACACTCACACGCACGCACGCACGCACGCACGCACGCACGCACGCACGCACGCGCACACACACACACACACACACACACACACACACACACACACACACACACACACGCGCTTGGCCTCGCGGCCTCGCGCGCGGCGGCGCAGCGGAGTCGCAGCCCAGCGCGGGGCGGGAGGAGCGCGGGCCGGCCCGGCTCGCGCGGCGGGGAGCTGCCGGGCCCGCCCAGGCGGGACCGAGCGGCAGGACCCGCGACGGGGCAGGTCGCGAGAGGGGGACGAGGGGGAGGGGACGAGGACAAGCTAGGTGCGCTCGCGTCATATCTGACGTCCTACCCCTCCCTTCCCATCCCTTACCATGGCGCTGATTTTCTCTATCCGCGGACGCGTGTCGTAGCGGACCTGTGGCTCCGCGCGCGCGTGCGTAGTGGAGGATGGGGGGGGGGGGGACCAGGGAACGACCAGAGGCGAGGGGAAGGCGAGCCCGTGGAGGTCCGCAAGACGGGGCGAGTGACAGGTGCAAGGATGGCCACGCGGCAGACGGAGGTCGCCGAGCGGAGACGATTACCCTGCGACGTACCCAACCCAACGGCACCCAGGGATGATATAATGGGTGCCGGCAATATGCGACAGCAACACTGCAAGAGACGGTGCACGGCGGATCTCTATATCGTGCAAGGTGTGCGTGGCCAGCTCGCAGAACAGAGGTACAAGAGACCAGCAGGCATTGTACTGTGAAAAAGAAACAAAAAGAAGACATCGGGGTGGAAGAACAATCACCTCGGCAGTAATTAGCCGCGAGATAATGGAGCATGGATAAGGTAAAGTTGCACAGGTGGAGACGTAACCAGACAATGAAGTGTCACAATCCTCCATGCCGAAATTCCCAACACCTCCTCCTCCTCTTCCTCCTTCCCCCTCCACCTCCTCCTCCACTCCTCCTCCTCCTCCTCGTCCTCCTCAACCTCCTCCTCCTCCAGCCGCTGCAGCGGCCCAGACTACCCCCCTTTCCCGCGGCACTTCAGTACACTTCCTTACAAAGTCAGGTGTTTCAGCGGCATGGCTTCTCCCTCGAGAGGCTCTCCTCGCCCATGAGAGAGGGGGTCGGGGCCCCTCGCGCGAGGCGCTGGCTCCTCGCCGTGAGCGCCTTCGCCTTCCTGCAGCTGGGCGTACTTGGCGCCCTGGTGATGGAGAGGACCCGCCCCCACGCTGAAGATGGCAACACATTCACACTTCGGACGTGCGTCTATAATCCCATGTTCCTGACGGGGGCTAAGCGGGCATCGGAGGTCTCTGACGAATTCAAAAATATTGGAGCTATCATGCTGCCAGGTACCTCCCGTCGCCAGACAGAGGACACACACTCACTTTTCCTTCATCCTTATCACTGGGAACTGAGTTTCGGGTGGACGAGGGCCTCCAACAAGAGTTGCGGGGTGTCGATCTTCCTCCACCAGAGGCGCTTCCCGAGGAACTTCATTCGTAAGATTTTCACGCCGCCCAGTTTCTTAAGTGGACGTGGCGGAGCAGTACGTTTAAAATCACAGACCTCGGACGTTCTATTCATGGTGCTCTACTTCCCAACTCTTCCGTCTCTCCGCGGCGGACGTACACAGTATCGGAACGTCGTGCTGGGACTTTGCAACTGGGCGAAGTCGGTCATCAACGGAGTGGGCTCCAGGTGCACACCGTTTGTCGGCATCGATTTGAATGACCAACTGGGCTTCTGCGCAGACGACACATTGGACGGCGAGTGCGTCACGGCCACACGGGACACCAGTACACACGGAGCCGATTGGGACTGGGAACGGGAAGCCGCCGCACACGTGGGCCCTTGTGGTGCTGAGTTGGAGCACTTCGCTGGCAAGAATTGGCACCAGGTGCTGAGGGACACGGCGCTGAGCGCGATCAACACGCACTACCCAGCTGGGCCAACGTTTCACGGGCCACTGGGACACACGTCGCGGATAGACTTTATCCACGCTCCGACGGGCTTGCTTCCTCACGTCCGAGTCTGCCGTGTTCTTCGACCTGCGGGGAGGCGGCTCCAGCCCGTGAATACCCTGGACGACAGGGACCACCGCCCCGTCTTCATGGAATGCAGCTACCGCTTCGAGGCCAGTTCTACCCAGAGGCAGTGCTGGGACTTCGATACCATGTCGCGCATCCTGCGCGGCGGGGAGGAGTGCACCTCTGCGGTGGAACGGGTCCACGAAGCCATCCTGACCATCCCTGAAGATGAATGGGTACGGCTTTGCTCACGGCCTACGACAGACGAGCTGTGGAACTCTATTTCGGTGCTGCTCAGGGAGGCGGCGCTGACGGAGTTTTTACGCCCTTCACCTTCGGCGGCTGAGAAGTCGGTTCTGGAGAGGCTGCGTTCGGAGATCCTGGCACGTCGCCGACGGTTGCGTGAACTTCATATTGGTCGAGACTCGGGCCGAGCGGGGGGCGCGGCGCGAGTGGGGACTGCCCGGCGGTGCGCCGTTAGTGACCCTCGCACCGTTGCTCCCCGTCAGGCACGCGCGGACGTCGAACTGGAACTGGCGAGGATCACGTTCAGGCTCAGGCAGCTGTCACGCCAGATCACCAAGGAACGCAACTCCCTGCTGGTCGGGGAGCTCAACTCCGCCTGGAGGGAGCACGACCACTTCGCCGTGCAGACTCTGCTTCGGCGACTGGCCCGCAAGGGCAGAGGGCCCCGACATCGGAAGTACTTCAAGGCACGAGAGGAGAACTGCGAACCACAGGACATCGCCGACTTCTTACGCTTGCCCGCTCAGCAGGGCGGACTCTCGGCGGTGGACTGCGACCTACAGGCGGAGCTGACGGAGCGCTTCGACCGCACCTACGAGGGGGACGAGGCTCACCGCACGGACCAGCAGCGCTACGACACGATGCAGATGGCAGATTTAGAGACGGCAGATCAGGACCTTTCGGGCGTCATCAGGGCGCTCCGCAGGGCACCGAAGAGACGAGCTACACCCGCGTGGAGTATGCCGTCGGAGCTCTGGCTGATCCTGATCGACCCCGACCAGTGGCACAAGTTCAAACGTGGTGGAGTGGGTTCGTGCCCTACCCCTGCGACGGCACAGGCCTTCAGGGAAAGAATGCTCGACATCATCGGATCCTTTCGGCGGACTTCCTCCGCCCCACTGGTCTTCGACATCTCCCACATCGTGGGCCTGGACAAGGGCAATGGCAAGCCAGGACCGCTCGGACAACGTTGGATACATCTCTTCTGCTCGATGGGCAAGGCGTGGAACGCCCATCTTTGGAATCGGGCTCGTCGCCACCGTGACCCACTTCCGTATTTTTGTCACGGCTTTGCTCGTCGCCGCCGGCGCGAAGACGCCATCGCGGTGCAGGACTGCTTGAGCTGGAGGCTCCAGAAGTTATCGCTATCACACGCCATCATCAATGAAGATGCCACGAACGCTTTCGCCAGTACGACACGAGAGACGATCTTGAATTGCCTCGAGTCCCTCTACCTCCCCGAGGACGTTAGGTTCCAGCACTCTCGCACGATGCAGACGGCGATGCAGATCATGGGACCCGACAGGCCCATCTCCCTCAGGCCTACCTCTGGAGAGCTCATGGGACACCCTAATCCTGCCAGAGGCTTCCCTTATTTCTATCTTCAGGGCCTGGAGGCTTTTCTGAGCTGGAGGGCGGGGACGAGCTCGTACACGTATTCACAGGCGGAGGAGGTGGACGGCACACGCACGGACACGGGCATCACACTGTACGCCGACGATATCACGAAGACGGTGATCCCAGGAAGAGGACCTGAACCCTTTGGAGGAGGAGGAGAGGCACGTCACCTTACCGCACTGGCACAGGTTAGCAGCAGTAAGTTAGCATCCTCCCTGGACGGCATCGGCGTGGGGCTCAACGAGGGCAAGCGAGTCACACTGGCTAGGCTTTTTGGGAAAGGCTGCATCGCCCAACGCCGCCTCCTGCATGCAGGCACTCTGCGTCTCTCTGGGCAGTTTGGCAGATTTATGCGCATCCTCGGCGGTTGGCTGACGGTGCAGGGATCGTTGCAGATTGAGAAGAGGAAAAAGATTCCAGGCTGGACGGACTGGCCTCGGCATCATCTCTAACTTTCTTGTCCACGAGGCTGCCCGCGGCATCAAGCGCATGGCCATCCTTTCGTACGTGCAAGGTGCTCTCTTGTCGGGGATGGAGGGGAGGGTCCCAGATAAAAGTTTCACGGTCGAGGGTGACAAGATCATGATGAGGGCGATGCGCAGGGGTCTCGGGGTCAAGGGCACTGAGGACCACGACGGGGTGCGCTGGAAGTGGAGCTCTCACAGGGTATGGGCCTACTGGCAGATCCTTCCCTTGGCAGACGAACTGCGACTTCGGAGGCTACGCTGGTATCAGTCCTGGATTAAATACCCTAGCGCCCACAGGCAGGTTCGGGCATGCATACTAGGCACGATCAATGACATACCTAGCATGAACGACGACTGGACCATCCACGAAAAGGCTAACCCCTGGGCCCGTCAGGTACTTGAGGACCTCCAGTTTGCCAGAAGCCAGTCTGAGGAGTTCGCTGACTTAGTTCCAGAAGATTTTCCTCTCTTGGGTCTATTTTACACTAAGGAGTTCGACGACTGGGCCTCGATTGACCTCACAGTCATCAGGGCCACCTATTTTTCTAAAGCGATCGCACCACCTAGTGGGCCCTCGGTGGCCCCGAGTATCGTGATGGAGGAGGAGGTGGAGGAGGAGGTGGACGCCCCTGGCGAGTTCGTCTGCAATCTGAAGAACTCAGAGGGGCAGCGGTGTGGTGACACATTCACCAGCATGAAAGCTCTTTTATTACATGCAGGCAGAGTTCACAAAGTTCGAAACGAGGCAGCACTTCTAACGGTCACGAACCAGTGTTTCAGGTGCCTCCAGGTTCTCAGCACGCGGGAGAATGCTCAGCGACATGTTATGAGGTCTTATGCCCACAATCGCTGCGCTCTTGGACGCAGTAGCTACACGGCGGCAGAAGTTGTTCAACCTTTTTCACTCGAATGCCCCGTTTGCAGCTTCACGGCTCAAGATCTCCGACAACTGCAGGTACACATACGCACACACTGTGCCCTGGGTGCTCCTACTCTCCCTCGGCCTCGGCTTCGACCGCGGCATGTCGCAACCAGACGCGGAGCCCATGGACCTGGAGCTGCTGATCAAGAAGCACAAGCGCAAGGCAGGCGACGGCGAGGACCTCGGAGGAGCACCCTCGGGGAAAAAAAAGGCCAACCTCGGGGACGCAGCAGACGATGCAGAAGACGGTCTTCAGCAGGTCGAGGGGGCCCTTCGGGCTCGAGACATGCAGCAGGCCATATCGATTTTGCTCAAGATGGCGTGCATGCACGCGCAGCTGCTGAGGGACCTGGCGGCGTCGGAGTGGGTGTGCCTGGTCGTCCCGTCGCTGAGCTTCCTGGTGGTCGCAGGGCGAGGTGCAGGCAAGATGTACGCGGAGGCGGCAGCCATCGCGGCAGCGAAGCCCCACCTGGGGCCACCACATTTGTACATAGCGCGCGGCGTGTTCAAGTCGATGGTCGATTCAGAGAAGCTGCAGAAGCCGGGGACTCAGGCATACCAAACCCTGGTCCTTTTTTACGAGAAGTTCGTGTCGATCAGCTCGGCCGCGGAGCTAGGATTAGTGATCAGACACTTCCGTTTGAAGAAGTGCTACAACGAGGAGTACACACGACTGCAGTTCGCGATCGGCGGGGACATCACGGTGCAGCTGGCGGACGCTCAAGGGGGTCCGCCCGGGCGTCACCTGAGCAAGCTGGAGGTGGAGCAGTCGATCATCAAGCTAGCCCAGCTGGAGGACGCGAAGCTCAAGCTCGGGACCGCCCCTCAGGGGCACTTGGAGACCATGGCGCAGCGCATCCTCGACAAGACGAAGCAAAAGAGCAAGGGCAAGGGCGCGAAGTAAGTCAGCCAGATTCGGGCCCCGCCCCGTGGGAGGCTCGTCGGGCTGCCCTCTTTGCCCGCATCAGAGCACGGGAACTCTCGCAGAATGACATTGTATGACGGACGTCCTCCTCGCACCCACGGACCTGATGCCGACTTCGGCGCGCTCTCTCTCGTTCTTTGATGATGTTATGTGGTGTATTCGCGGCCTTGTGTGCACGCCCGCGCTGACCACCACCGAGTACCTGACTGCCACGTGACCTCGATGCCCGAGGCCCCGTTCCTCTAGGCCGCGCCGAGCGGGGGGCGCGGCGCGAGTGGTGACTGCCCGGCGGTGCGCCGTTAGTGACCCTCGCACCGTTGCTCCCCGTCGGCACTGTCCTCACTGTCTTCTCGGAGTGGCCATCTTCCAGAATTCGGGGACCCACACTCCCCTCCGCTGCTTCCTCTGCTCTTCTCCTGCTTTGGCCTCGCCCTCTTGCCTCGTCGCCCTCTCTCCTGCGTCGTTCCCCTTTCGTCCGTCGCTTGCTGGAGTGTGGGTCCCTCCTCGGGGCGGGGCGGGTGCCTCGGAGGCCTGCCCGTCGCCCGCAGCGACGTGGGCTCGGCACTGGGAGGCCAGTGGGGTGTCCCCCCCAGCCCTCGAGGGGTCTCACGATTTGCGACTGCCTGGGTACGATCACGTACGACAGGCTGCACGGCGCGCGCTACTCACGACCTCATCGCACTCGATCGATGATCGTTCGAGGTAGGGCTCTGATTGCACGGGTTCACGCGCGGTCAGGGATCGGCACAGACCACGCGCAAGGCCGAGTCTTCTTCTTCTTCTTCCTCCTCCTCCTTTCTGTCCTCCTCCATGTCGACCTCCTCCTCCGCCATTTCCTCTGTCTCCTTCTCATCATCATCCTCCTCCCTCTGCTCTTGCTCATCGTCCTTCCCCCTCGTCTCCCTCGCCTCCCTCCTCTCGTCCTACTCCTCCTCGTCCTCCTGCTCCTCATCCTCCTCCTCCCTGTCCTCCTCCATGTCGACCTCCTCCTCCTCCTCCTCCTTCTCCTCCTCCTCTGTCCACCTCTCCTCCTCCTCCTCCTCCTCCTCCTCCTCCTCCTCCTCCTCCTCCTCCTCCTCCTCCTCCTCCTCGCCGCCCACCCCTCCTCCTCCAGACCCGCGTGGTACGCACCCCAGCAGCCCTCAAGGCCGCGACAGTTTCACACTTCGCAGCATCCCCCCCAAGGGATGGCGACGTCCTCGAGGTCTACGTGGAACCACGGTATGCTGCCCCTCCGAAGCAGCCCACAGAAGTGGCGTCAATGTCACATTTCGCAGCAGCCCCCAGGGATGGCGAGGTCCGCTGGCGCCCCCAGCAACCCTCGAACGTGGCGACCGTTTCACACTTCGCAACACCCCCCCATCAGGATGGCGAGGTCCCGTTTGGGTATGTGTGGGGCCCCGCTGTCCTTCCCCTCCCAGCAAACAGCCACCAAGAGTAACGACGTTTTCACACTTCGCAGCCCCCCCCCCTCAAGGATGGCGAGGTCCCGATAGGGTCTCCGTGGGGCCCCACCGTGTTGCCCCCTAGCAGCCCTCGAAAATGACGAAAGATTCACACTTCGCAGCTCCTCAGTGATGGCGAGGTCCCGTTTGGGTCTGCGTGGGGCCCACTGTGAGGGCTCCCCCAGCAGCCCTAGAAAGTGGCGCAAGTTTCAAACTTCG